ACCTGAGGTCAGCGAGAGTAGTGCAATGAGTGTCGTGCCACCCACGAAGCTCCTGGCAGAGACTGTAGATTGGTCTGTTAACGGGAGTGGAGTGTTGGCCCCGCCCTCGCTTGGGCAACGCCGACGACTTGGTCGGATGTACGGGATAAGCAACCGACCGTTCGCAGTGAAGGAGCTGCTCGACGGGCTTCGTCGAGCTGCAGGGTGTCACTGTGGGGTTCCCGTCAACCAGGGGTGCTCGACGGGCACAGCTGACTGGGCTGGGCGACAGGTGGGCCGTCGACCAGGAGTTCCAGTACGACGGGGAGGTCGACGGAGCAGTCCGTCGACCTGACATGTGAGCTGTGGTTGACCAGGGGCCCTTGGTCGTCGACTAGAGGCACCTGCTGGTCGACCGGGGAACTTGGTGGTCGACCGGGGGACCTGGTGGTCGACCGGGGGACCTGGTGGTCGACCAGAGCTCCTTGTGGACGACCGGAGACACTTGGTGGTCGACCAGAGGCACCTGGTGGTCGACCAGAGCACTAGGTGGTCGACCAGAGCGGCTGGTGGTGTCCAGGTTGACCTTGTAACCTACTCGGCGAGTTTTGCGGAGGCACGCGAACGTCGTCGAGGTCGCGATGACGAAGGCGACTTCGGGATGGTATCCCGAAGTCGATGTGGCTCATCAGGCGCAGACAACAGCCGACGGATGCACAGCAATGAAAATCAGGCCGATCGTCTGCTCGCACCTGCGAGCGTTGGCACGCTGGACAGCCGTTCTACTGCAGCGTTGGCACGCCATCGACCTGCAGTGTTGGCAGGTCGCTCTTCTGCAGTGCTGGCGTGGCTCCTCTACGCAACGCTGGCAGGCGGTCGACCATGCAGTGCTGGCGGTCGACCAGGCTAGCTGCAGAGTTGCTAGGTGCCTGATGTAGTCATTGTTGTCATTGCTTGTTCAATCATTTTATAATTCCAACATTGCTAGTGAAACTCTTGCCAATATCTCCTGTGAATTCGCAAGCGCTAAGGAACCATGCAAAGCTACAATCATTCCTAGTTGTTTGTGCCAACACCCGTAGTCTAGCTCACTACCATTGTAGAGTGAATCTCCGCATGGTCATCCCAGACTCCATTGGGTCCCAGGCAGGAAAATGCAAGTGAAGCCAGGAGGACGGCACAACCACATCTCCTCGTGTAGGCTGCCCTGTAGGAAGGAAGTGGAGAAGTCTACTAAGCACGGCTCGCAGTTCGTTGTGCTGCGACGTGTAGTAGCATCCCAAGAGTGGGCATAGGTGGGGGAAAATGTGAGAAAGAAGTCCACTCGCTCACACTGTCTGAAGCCTCTCGTCGTATTGCGCTTTGAAGACATGCAGCAATATGGGCAGCCGCTTCACCTTGAAGATCTACATATCGTTGACTATGTTTCCCCTTAATAGAGGAACTGCGTCGGTGTATATAACTGTGGATCTCTGCTCCATGTCACCTATCTAGTAAGATGCTCAAAATCCTGATACGACCTCCATGTAAGTGCAAGGAATCGGGATGGCTAGAGCGTCAGGGTCTCCCACATGGCCTAGCAGCATGGCGCATACAGGAACTGGAGCTCAAACTGCCTGTCCTCTAGCACGTTACAGTCAAGGGCACACTCACCCTGCGCATGTAAAGGGCGGGTAGGAGGAGCAACCACTAAGCGGATGACGTGAAGGCGGCGGGTGGTGACAAAGTTAGTGACAGCGGCAACAAGATCCGAGACAAATGACAGAGAGGAAGTAGGGTCCGTGACAAGTGTGAAGAGAATGTAGGAGACAACAGGGCAGGCATTATGGTAATATTCGGTGAGAGGCAGTGAGGAAACAGTGAGAGTTGACAAAAGAGGCAACGGTACGGCAGATTTTGGCGGTAACCAGGAGGGCTAGGACGAAGTAAAATAGAACAGAGGTCCTAAGACGAATGGTAGGCATCAAGGAACGAAAAACGGGTTAAGATGTCTGGACAACAAGAAGAGACAGTCGTGACCATGGAGGAGAGAAAACAACCGAAGACGAGTCCGCAAAAGAAAACTTAGGACTAAAGTAGGAGGAGACGGTGAGCGGTTAGGAGGAGGAGAAGGAAGACCAAGGGGCTGCTGGCAATGCATGCTGGCTTGTCATCATTGCACGCTGCTGCCATTCACTATGCCAAACCATCCCTTTGCCAATCCCGTATTCATATTTTTATCACCCCACAAGCAAAGCACGCGTATGAATAGCACACCGCTAGTGTGCACCTCGCCAACGAAGCGCACGCGCCGAACAAACGTGCATCGCCAGCAACAAGTGCACATCCACGGCCTTCACCACTAGCATGCGCCCTGCCAGAGGTGCGCGCATGCTAGCGCATGCACCGTGAGAATGGCAAACATTGAGCAGGGTGTGGGCCCTATTTTTTTGTTTGTCTTAGCGTTTACGTCAGCTGAATGGGTTACTGTATACGCCTGGATAAGCAGTGTTGTATTGAATACAACGGTTGTCTTTTAATAATCTGAAGTGTCCCTGAAGTATGTTTTTTTTTTATATATATAATGCTTCAACTTGCCACAAGAATGTTGGTGCACCAGACTTAGTGTGTAGTAAATGGAAGATGCGTTGTACGTGAGAACGGGTGCTACACGCTTATACACTGTACCGGTGTGTTCTGGTAACGAGCGACCAGCCTTTCCTTGCAATGTCGAGATTGAGACGTGTGCGTTGACCTTCGGGAATGGCAACACGCCAGCCTGGCAGGCAGGATGTGACTGGGCTGGTATGGCACTTTGTAGCGCATCGGTGTGGGGGAGGGAGGGATCCCAGCAGGTTTCCAACCAGGCAGGATCCCAGATGGAGTTCATGTTCTGGGGCACAGAGCCTCAGGTCACGGTTCTGGCCGAAGCTTGGACACCAAGAACCAATTTTTTCCCTCAGTGACGTGTAAACACACCCGATCATTGGTCACCACACAAGTTGCTGAGCATGGCAGCCAATCAGACGTGTTCATTGCTACCAAAGCGTCCACACTTCACTTGGTGTCCAAGCCCCAGAACCGTGATCTCAGGTCGCATCTCCGCCCCAAACACCGTAACGAACCGTAACAGACCTGACCGAGCTGAACCGAACTCGAGCAATTGTGGCATGATGCGCGTGGATCTTTCGGCTTCTTTCTGCTTCGACAACAAGACCCCTTTCGCCCTTCGCTCCCCCTCCCCCTCCCTTTCTTGCTTGCAACTGTACACATAACTGCTGCGTCAGGCCACCACGAGTATATCACATAACTGCTGCCCACAATCACAGTGCATTCTGCTGGTGAGCAGGGATTTACGACAAATGGGTTCAACAAGGCTCAGATTCCGAGGTCCAGAGAGGTGAAAAGCAGTTAAGTGCGTTTTAGTCAGATAAACGCGTGGTGCAGTGTGGTTAGGGTTCGAGCTAAATCCTTTCCAGCCGTACTACGTTCCGCCTAACACTCGATCCCAAAGCAGCTTGACTTCAAGTCAAGTTTGCAAACTTTGCCCCTGGCTGTTACGGTGGTAAGATACATACAGGACAGGAATGGGGGATCTTTTCGAAACCGCGGAAGCTAAAATCATTCTCTCCTGTCGCCGCGCGATGCCGCTGCCGTCACTGCCGCAAGTTTCGCTCCTTGTCGCAATCGCCGCCCGCTCTCGGCACTTCTCTCCATGCCACAGGCAAACCAATCCGCTATTCTTAACGGGGCGCTCTGTAACGAGTCAATTGCTGCGCCCCTCCTTACAAGCACAAATCCAAAACAAACATCCAGTCGGCCAGCTCATTTTGGCATCAGGGAGCGCCTCATCGTCGTTCTTCGCGTGGTTGTGGTAACCGCGCACTTCGTCTCGCTCGTCGCCGTCGCCAACGCTGCCGTGCCGACATGCGTCAGCCTCGCAGCTCAAGGTAGTGCCGTCCGAATCTTGCCACGTCTCGAAAGGTAGCCTCGCAGCTCAAGGTAGTACCCTCTGAATCTTGCCACGTCTCAAAAGATAGCCTCGCAGCTAGCCTCGCAGCTCAAGGTAGTACCCTCTGAATCTTGCCACGTCTCAAAAGATAGCCTCGCAGGCAGCCTTTGCAGCCAGCCTCGCAGCCAGTCTCCCAGCCTCGCAGCTCAAGGTAGTACCCTCTGAATCTTGCCACGTCTCAAAAGATAGCCTCGCAGGCAGCCTTTGCAGCCAGCCTCGCAGCCAGTCTCCCAGCCTCGCAGCTCAAGGTAGTACCCTCTGAATCTTGCCACATCTCGAAAGGTAGCCTCGCAGGCAGCCTCTCAACCTCGCAGTCACCTTAACTGCTTCTCCCCACTTCCTCCAACAGATTTTTTTGCCTCCACCTCCCCTCCCTTTCCGTTTGTTTACTTTCCCTCCGCAGGAGTTGCACACGCGTCGTCACATTCCCCTCTCCCCTCAGGAATCCCCCCCATCATCCCCCCCACCCTCATTTCCCCCTCACCCTATCTCCCCCCACGTCATCTCTCCCACCCGCCACACCCTCCCCTCCCATCTCCTCTCCCCCCCCCAACCTCCAGCTCCCTCGTTGAACCTCCTGCGCAATGCGGGCTTCGAGGAAGCCACCAATGCACCGGACTGGCCCTCGCCCCTGTCAGCATGGGTGCCGCTCGCTCCCCTCGCAGCACAGCAGCAAGGGCAGGGGTTGAGGGAGGTACAGGGGGAGGGGCAGGGCGCGGGGGAAGGGGGAGGGGGAGGGGAGATTCCGCCAGGGGACCCATCCGTGGCTGCTGAGGGCGGTCGGTTCGTGCGGCTGCAGCCCAGCGACGGCAGTGGCGGCAGCGGTGGCGAGCTTTGGGGCAGCGGGGCGAGCGAGAGGGAAGGGGCAGTGTGGCCGGTGCAGGGAGTGGGGCAGCTGCTGTGTGTCGCGGATGAGGGAGAGCAGCAGCAGCAGCAGCCGCAAGGGGAGTTTTCGCTGTATTTCTATGCACGAGCACGCGAGTGCATGATGGATCCGTCTATCGCCGCTGGAGTGCGGCCGATGCGAGCAATGATCGTCGCCTTGCCCCTGCCACCACCGCCACCACCAGCCACTGTCGGCAGCAGCTACAACGGCAGCACAGGCGGCGGCGGCACCGGCAGCGGCAGCGTGTATGATGAGGGCGAGCTGGGCAGGGCGCTGGCAGCAGGCATGCACAGCAGAGAGATGACTGTGCTGCATCGATGGACCGTCGGCATTCCCTGCCGCAACAACTCCTCCTCTCTCTCGGGCCTCCTGCCTTGGCGCCAGCACGGGCCCTTCTCCTTCCACCTCCCTCCCTCCTCCGCCTCCGCCGCTGCTCTCTCCTTCCCGCCGCAAGGCGTTGCTCTGCACCTCCTGCTGCTCGAGGGCAGCGGGGCGGACAGCGGCGGCACGCCCTCTGGTGGTCCCGTGGTGTTGCCTGGTCCCATTGACGTGCCCGACCCTCCGTTCATTCCTGGAGGCTCGTCCCTGCCTGGAGGCTCGTCCCTGCCTGGAGGCTCGTCCCTGCCTGGAGGCTCGTCCCTGCCTGGGGGTGCGTCTGTGAGTGGAGACGCGGCCGTGTCAGGGGCAACTTCATTGACTGCAGCAACAGCAGCAGCGGTGGAAGGCGGGGAGCTCACATCGGCGGCAACGGCAGCAGGGAACATCGACATCGACCTGGTTACTGTGGCTCCCAGAGGCACAGGTGCGTTGCTTGCTTAAAACCACAGGTGGTCACATGTGTTCACTCCACTCACAAGAGGTCGGTTGCAACAGCAGGGAACATTGACATTGACCTGGTCACTGTGGCTCGCAGAGGTACAGGTGCGATGCTTGCTTACAACCACAGGTGGTTACATGTGTTTACTGCACTCACAACACAAGAGGTGGTTTGCAGTGGCACCAAGGAACATCGACATTGACCTGGTCACAGTGGCTCCCAGGGGCACAGGTGCGCACAGAGGCACAGGTGTGCCTCTTTTGATCACACGTGTTGTCTCGATTCACGAGAGGTCGGTTGCACTTGCACCATGTGAGCGCAACATTGCCAGCACAGTGTGACTCACCGCATAAGCATCGATGTGGATCTGATCACGGTGGCTCCCAAAGGCACAGGTGCTCTTTGTGTGTGTGGGCAGCTATGCCATGCTGGTGCGCTTAATCATGAACAAAGCATTCAAAAACATGGAGGGCAATGAGGTGCAAAGACTCAAGAGCAAGATAGCGCACTTGACAAAGCTTTCACGGTAGAGGGAGGAGGGAGAGCGAAGAGGTGGTTGAGACAAGGTGTGCGGTTAAAGGGGTTGAGAGGAGTGCGGTTAAGGAGGTTGAGAGGAGTGCGGTTAAGGGGGTCAAGGACTACGGTTAAAGAGGTTGAGATGAGTTCGGTTAAGGGGGCTTAGAGGAGTGCGGTTACGGGGGGGTGAGAGATGTGCGGTTTTGGGGGTTGAGTGCGCTAGTGAAAGCTTCGTCAAGTGCGTTATCCTACTCTTGAGCCTCTGCACCTCCTTGCTCTCCATGTTTTTCGATGCCTTGTTCTTGATCGCACCAGCATGGCATAGCTGCTCACACACAGAGAAGAAGATGAGAGAAGAGGAAGGGAGAGAGAGAGAAGTGAGAGAGAGGGTAGGGAGGGGAGAAAGAGAGGAAGAGCGTTGTCATCCAGCTCTTGAGCCACCTCACCTCTACCCTACTATACTCTCTCGAGTGCTCATTCCACTCAAAACAAAAACAGATCAGTTGCACTGGCATTAGGGAGCATACTGTTGAGCGTTCATTCGAGGGGCACAGTGTGAGTCGACCCACAAGTTGTTGCTCACACTAACAACAGAATCAATATCTGTTTGTTCTTGGAGCTCAAACACATCTGCTCCGATTCTCACCTTTCTCTTTCCTTTATCCCCCCTCCTCGCCTCCCCCCCCCCCCCCCCCCCCCCCCCCCCTTTTTGTTTCCCGCCTCCCCTTAAATCTCAGCGGCCTCCGCCCCTCCGTTCTTCTCCTACTCCTCGTTGAACTCCTCCTCTCCCCTCCTCACCTCCGGCTCAGCCCGCCTCTTCCCCTCCTTGCTGCGCCTCAACCCCCTCTCTCACCCCCACCAAGCGGGCCTTGCCCTGCACCCCACGCCCTTCCCCCTCGTCTCCCCCGCCACCCCCACCTCCCCCTGCCGCCCCTACTCCTTCTCCTCCTACTTCTCCTTCCGCCTCTCCTCCCCCCACCCCGCTGCTCTTGGGGCCGACGGCTTTGCTTTCGTTCTCCTGCCCGACCCGACCGTCGGGCTGCCCGGGCCAAACATGGGATACGGCAGAAGGCTGTACCGTCAGGAGGAGCTGTTTGTGGAGGTGGGAGGGGGGGATGAAGAACAATTGTGTCAGGTAGAGAACGGGGCCGTTACATGCACCACGATTGGCGGCAGCAGCGGCAGTGGTTTCACCCTCAACAGCAGCCTGCCACATCAGCACAGCCTGGCAGTGGAGTTTGACACGTCATCAACCCGTCTGTTTTCGGACCCGACCACTCACCACGTGGGGATCAACATGGATTACAGCATGACGTCAGCAGGCCATGCGTCCGTGCACCCCGCGGGCATCCCCTCGCTGGGCGGCAGCGGCAAGGAGAACGAGACGCTGCATGCGTGGTTGGCCTACAACGCCACCGCCTCGCTGCTCTCCGTGCGCCTCTCCTCCTCGCCCGCCATGCCCCCCTCCGCCCTCCTCTCCCTCCCCTTCAACGCCTGCGACCTTTTCCACATTGCTCCGAAGGAGGACGTCGGGGAGGGTGAGGCCGTGTTGGTGCATGCAGGGTTTGCAGCCGGCACGGGGCTGCTGCCGCTGCACACTCAGACGCACGACATCCTCTCCTGGTCTTTCCAGGTCGACACTAAAGGTGAGAAGGAGTGGCAGGAGTCGGGGCAAGGTGAGCAGTAGCTAAGATTCAAGGTGTTCAGTGAAGGCAGGCAGAGCAGTCTCGAATGGCCTGCAGACAGAGCAGGCGGGGCACAATGTGTAAAGCCTGTTGGAAAACTCAGCCGCTAAGCACTGAGCTAAAGGGGCTTGTTCCATAGTGGGTGAGCTCACCCATAATCCCCCAGGTCATCCTTGCCTGTGACCCTTCTCAAGACCTTAGACCGATCGCCATGCTCGTCTTACACCCCTGCCATTGGGGTGGGCCTTAGGACCTCAGGCATATTCCATTGTGCACACTGTAATTCGAACCCGAGACGTTCGTTCTGATACCATGTTAGAAAACCTAGCCACAATCCATTGAGCCAGCTCGTTCCATAACGGGTGAGCTCGCCCATAACTCCACCGGGCACAGCTTTGGCTGAGCGCGCAAAATGGACGCGTTTGACATTTTGCTAGATAAAACTGCAGAAAAAACACTCAAATATGAAACTTTTACCAGCGCTGTCTAGACGCCTATGCTCCGTCCCAACGTCTCGCCTCCTCGCACTCACCAAGCCAATTTAGCACTGTCGGGAAAGGAGGCAGAGCGTTAAGTAGCAGCTAATCCGATCTCAAGCAGGATCCGTTCTTGCTCGCGACAGACGCACGATCCGTCGATCAAGGAGCAAGTCCTGACGCCGCGGGCAAACACCGCAAACCCTTCCATCTCAGTCGCAGCTAGCGAAGTCTCGGTTGTCTTGGTGAGTGAGAGGAGGCGAGACGTTGGGACGGAGCATAGGCGTCTATGTGACGGAAGACGCAAGACGCGTCTTGCGTCTAGCGTCTAGACGCAGCGTCTAGACGCTAGACGCTAGACGCACGTTTAGACGCTAGACGCTTGGGTAAAAAAATTTCGGGCAGCCCGTTTTTTTTTTTTTTTTTTTTTTTTTTTGCATGGATGTAGTAGTAGCTATTTACTTCGTGTTTGCTACTGCTAGAGAGACGAGGTTCCTAACTATGTATGATGAGAAAGGAGGTTTTTTGTGAACTCTAATTATGGGGAAAAACCTTTGGTACGGCGGAAATTTGACCCAAATGTGCCATATGTGCATGTCCTCCACCCTCCCCATGGCCCTCAGAAGTTTTTTTAGGCTGCCCGAACATCTTTTTTAGGCCTGCCCGGGTTTTCGTCTAATATGCGTCTAACCTAGGCGGAAATGCGTCTAGCGTCTTAGACGCTGCGTCTAGACGCAACCGTCTAAGACGCTAGACGCGTCTTCCGTCACATAGATAGGCGTCTAAACAGCGCTGGTAAAAGTTTCCTATCTGAGCGTCGTTTCTGCAGTTTTTTTCTGGCAAAATGTGAAACGCGTCCATTTTGCGTGCTAAGCCAAAGCGGTACCAGATACAGCATGTGAAAACCCGTCTCACACGACCATTTTTGCCTGTGACCCTTTTTCTGGCACCTTAGGCCGATCCTAGTGCTCTTCCAACAGAGCCAAGAGAGATCCAAGAGTGGAATGAGAAGGTTGAAAACGTTCATCCTTCCCACTCCCTCAACTCCTCTTCAGCCTCTCCACTGTTGTTTATGTCAGTTCTGTGTGCAGCTCTACTCACTCCCCAGTGTGTTTCCCTTCTCTCCCTACTCCCCCCCTAAAACACGCTTCCCCCATTCCAGCGCCGGCGCCTCTCCCCGTGTGGCAGCCACCGTCTCTCTGCTTGCCCTCCCTCACGCCAGCGGCGCCCTTCACTGCCTCGGGCTCAACTCGCCTCGGCTTCTCCTCGCTGCAACTCACCCCGGGCAGCCAAGACCAGGAGGCAGGCGCCGCTTTCTTCCCCATCCCCCTGCCCCTGCTCTCTCTCCTCCCTGCTCCTCCCCCCCGCAAGGGGAGGAACAAGGGCGGAAAGACCGATGCTGTGGTGTGCAAGGCTCGATCCTTCACCTCGTGGTTTGCATTTGAGCTCAAGGGAAAAGATACCAATGGGTTTGGGGTGGTTTTTGTGCTAAGTACTCGGCCGGGCTTGGGAGAAGGGGGAAAGGATCTTGGGTATGGGAGGAATGCGCAGGAGAGGAATGCGAATGGGACGTGGGCGGACGGAGGGAGGAGTGTGGCGGTGATGTTTGATGCCTTCAGCAGCCTTGACCCTAACCATGACATTAGCAGGGATGCGGCGATTCTCTCCGTTCACACTGACTTTAACGTGACACAGCGACTGGCTTTTTCGTCTCAGAGGAGATACAATGCGCCATTGTTGTACAGCATGAGGGTGGACTATACAGCTGCCACTAAGACACTAGAGGCAGTGACTTATAATGGAGCGCAGAGGACGGGGGGTGTTAAGTTGACTCTTGACCTGTGCTCGGTGTTTTATGATGGGAAGAGTGGCAGCAGCACCAGCAGCAGCAGCAGTGGTGGTGGTGGTGGTGGTGGTGGTGCTGGTGGTGGTGGCGGAGGGAGCAGCACTGAGGGAGTGATTCCGGTGTTTGCAGGGTTCAGCAGTGCCAGCACGCAGGCATGTGTTCAGTCCATCAAATCGTGGACCTTCCGATTCACAGGTGAGTGTGGAGGGTTGGTGCTGTGTGTGCGTGTGTTTGTGAATGGGTTCGTTTGCATTCTTGTATGCATCTGTAACTCTCGAAGTGTATCTGTGCATGTGTTCCAATTTCACGGCTGTGTGTGAGTGTGGGGTAGTGTGCCTTTGCATGCACCTGTCACTGTGCATGCATTTGTGCATCTGTGTCTGTGTGCATGTGCACACAATGTCTGGTTCCATGTGCCACGTTGATGTGCTAAACTTTCCGGATTATCATGCATTGCCGCTGATGCAGCATGCCTTCTCCACATAGTTTATGCATCTATTTGAATCGTTATATGAGAACGGTGCATCCATCGGTCCATCGGTCCATCGGGTTATTTGTGGTATTGTCTAGTATTGTCATGTTTCAAAAATATCTCCTTCTCCTTCATTCATCCTTCTCCCCTCCCTTCTCATCTCCTCTATCATCCTCTGCTTGTCTCACCTCACTGCCCATGTCACACAGACGTCAACCCATGCACGGCATGGGACGTGAATCCATGCGGTGCTGGCAGGTGCAGTGCGGTGCGGTCAGCAGCCACAGGCACATACACCAGCACGTGCTCGTGCCCTCTCAGCCAGCCCAGCTACAAGCTCCCCCAAATGCCCGCCTTCCAAACGTGCTTCAACGGTAAATCCGCCTGTGAGAGCATGGCGCTTCAATGGTAATAGTATTGATTCTTGAGTGCATGCAAGCCCAGCTGTAAGCTCCCCCAAATGCCCGCCTTCCAAAGGTGCTTCAACGGTAAGCCCAGTCAAAATGTCACCGCATTATATTGCAATAGCCGGTGCTCTCCCTTCACCCCTCCCAGCTTCAAGCTCCCCCAAATGCCCACCTTCCAGACTTGCTTCAATGGTAAGTCCGCCTGTGAGAGCATGGCGCTTCAATGGTAATAGTATTGATTCTTGAGTGCATGCAAGCCCAGCTACAAGCTCCCCCAAATGCCCGCCTTCCAAACGTGCTTCAATGGTAAGCCCAGACAACTCTTCAACTTTCACAGCACAGCACTATCAATCGACCAGCACATTCATTCTTACCTCCGCTTTCACCAGCTAAGTGGCTGCGCTGCTAACCGTCTCACTCCCCACTTACCATCTCATCGCCTCCCGCCCCGTTCACTGAATTTCTCTCTGTGGTTCTCTCTGTGGTTATTCTCCCACTTACCATCTCATCGCCTCCTGCCCCGTTCACTGTATTTCTCTCTGTGGTTTTTTCTCCCACTTGCCATATCATCGCCTCCCGCCCCGTTCACTGTATTTCTCTCTGTGGTTTTTTCTCCCACTTACCATCTCATCGCCTCCTGCCCCGTTCACTGTATTTCTCTCTGTGGTTTTTTCTCCCACTTACCATCTCATCGACTCTAACCTCCCTAATTCCCCTCCACTTTTCATTGACCACCCAGAGTTCCCCGCATGTCGTCTTAACAGTACTGACATGTGTGCGCCTGGCGTGTGCCTGGAGGGCTATGATGCCTCCTCCTTCTGCCTCTGCCCGCCCGCCTTCTTCCCCCTCGACTACTCTAACCCCCTCAAGCAGCCCTGTAACCAAGGTATACTAACCTCTCCCCAACGTTACCGGTACTACTCTAACTCTGTGAGAAGACTTCGTAGCCCAAGCATATATATCGTAACAGTCCTGCCTGCCCTGACATGTATGATTTAACCCGTCCTTGTTAGATGGGTTGATTAACCTTATGTTTGGTACTAATTACTACTGAGTTACTTCACCTTCACCCTCCTCTCCACCAGCGACCAATTTACCTCAATTTTGTGAAGGCCCTCGTTCCAGCCTCTCTGTCCTCACGTGCCCTCTACTGCTCCATGGCTTTTAAGCTCAGAGTTTTTTCCTCTTCGCCGTTCCTGCCTCTCTCCCAAATCCTCCTCATTCACCGCTCTGTCCACCAGTGAGCAAATCTGCCGTTCCGGTGCCCTTCTTCCCAGCACCCCCCGGCCTCACATGCCCTCTGCTGCTCGACATATTTGACCTCTCACCTCAAGAGCTGCTGGACAGCAACCAGGTGAGTCGCGAGATGAGTGGAGGGGCATGGTGATAGAAACACCTGGTGTTGAGTGGAGGCATGGTGATAGAAACACCTCTATGGTGAGCTTGGTGTGTCACTGATCTGCTTCTTGATATCTTTGACCTCTCACCTGAAGAGCTGCTGGAGAGCAACAAGGTGTGAGGCGAGGCGTTTCATTTGTTGCTTGATGGACCTAGAGATGCCATGCTTTCTGCCTTCAGTCTTCATATTCCTCTAAACACCCTCTTTTTCGTTTGTTCTTTCTTTCTCTCTTCCCGTTTTGAACGGAGGCAAGTTTCAAGTCGCATTTACAATCACCGGATTACTTGTTTGGTGTCATGCTGTGCTGTTCTCTTACATGACTGCCTTGGCAGGGCCTAGCATGCCACAAGCCCATACCTCGTGGGTTGATTGTCAACGTGTCGGCATCTGCTAACAAGACCTGCACCAGCATGTACACCACCAACCAGGTGAGGCGTCATTGTTTGCTTCTGGGTGACTGAGTGACTGAGTCGATTGTTGACCGAAACGCGTGCGCTGGTCAAAACAGTGCGTAATGCCTTCTGTTACGCTGAGAAGGCTAGAGGAGAGAGTAGCACTTGATTTTCTCACACACTATGTTTCACTCATTACCCTTCTATTCCCCCCCTTTCTGACCATTTCTGCTCTCCCTCACTCTCCAGAGTGACACTTGCGCATTGGTCGACACGTCCTAAAATCACTCCATTATCTGCTCACTCGTTCCTCTCCTCTCGTCTCCCTGCGTTTTTTGCCTTTCCTACTCCTTCCCCCGCAACACACACCAATTTGACAACTGTGGCCAATCAGCAGTGGTACAAAGCTTAAAGCATCAGATCGAAGTTACGGCACTGACGTCCCCCCACTCCCACTCACACACACCCATTCCCCCCCTTCACCCACCCCAGGGCGACACGTGTGCTTCAATCAACAGCATCCTTAACACCAACATAACAGACTTAAACCGTAACATTGACTGCTTACAACCTCTCGTCCCTGGAAAGGTTAGATCCCATTTCAATCCCTTCCCAATACTTCCTCTTTCTTGGCTGCTTTGCTCTTTTGTTCGGCCACCCATATAGAAGCAACCATAGCTATTCTAACTCACGCCACGTAATCATGTGGTCCTCATAAAAAGAAGCTCTATTTTCGTTACTAGTCGAGAAAAGAACGTAATAAATAGCTCTGGATCACTTCTGTAGCTTGTTATCCCATTGTGATACACTGTTGACTGTTGAAGGGCCATCTTGTGCAGCAGAGAAAAGGAATTCGACCTTTCCATCTTGTGCTAGCACCAGCTCGGCATGTCGTTACTTTAGGTGCCACTCTCCAATGCCACTCTCTCCTCTAGCCTTCCCTGTCCCCCCTCTCCTTCCCACTCCCCCTCATCCTCCTACTCCTCATCCCCCTCTCCCTCCCCGTCTCCACCCCACCTTCCCTCCCCCTCCCCCTTCCGCTCCACCCCTCCCCTTGCCCCCCAATTCTCCCCGCAGCATTGTGTGGGGAGCAACAGCAACGCCTGCACCTTCCCCATGGCGGCCTGCATGGATCACAAGGCTCTCGAGCCCGCTCCCCGTTACCCTCCCCCTTACCCTCCCCCTTACCCTCCCCCTCCCACTTCTTCCTCCCCCCGTCCCCATCCCCCTCCTTCCTCCAGCGAATATGCATTGAGAACAACACCGATGCCCCCACCTTCCCCGTGGCGGCCTGCATGGATCACAGGGCTTTAGAGCCGGGCCTGCACATGTGCCAGCAGGTGGCCGCCTTCGGCTACGGGTGGAGCCGCGTGGGCTACTCAAAGCTCTTCCGCGTCAACCCTGCTCTCTACTGCGACCAGCTGCTGCCCGGTGCAGCTGGGTGGGACGACTCTGTTCTCAATACGGTGAGCACTCCAGGCTCGTTGTTGGGTGGAGCCGCGTGGGCTACTCATCGCTCTTCCGCGTCAACCCCGCTCTCTACTGCGACCACCTGCTGCCCGGTGCTGCTGGGTGGGCCGACTCTGTTCTCGGCTCGGTGAGTGGGTGTGAGTTTCACGTGACACTCAAGGTGACTTACGAGTCGACTCTGTGAGGCAACTCTGTTCTTGACTCGGTGAGCACTCCAGGCTCGTTGTTGGGTGGAGCCGCGTGGGCTACTCAAAGCTCTTCCGCGTCAACCCCGCTCTCTACTGCGACCACGTGCTGCCCGGTGCAGCTGGGTGGGACGACTCTGTTCTCAACAGGGTGAGTGGGTCTTGATATCATCACAACCTTGCAAGCCTTTTTCAACGCACCCCTGCTCGTCGTTGCAATGACGTGCTGCCCGGCGCTGCTGGGTGGGGCGACTCTGTTCTGTTGTCGACTCGGTGAGGTGGTCACATCACATGATCTGTGACGATTTTTTAGGCGCCGACTCGGTGAGGTAGTCACATCACGTGATCTGTGACGATTTTTGAGGCGCCTCAAAAATTGTCGACTCGGTGAGGTAGTCACATCACATGATCTGTGCCTTGCATACCTTTTCCAGCTCAACCCGGCACTTTGTTACGATCACATGCTGCCCGGTGCAGCTGGGTGCGGCGACTCTGTTCTTGACAGGGTGAGCGCTTTTGACTTGCACATGAAAGTTTGATCTTTCTGATATGTTGAGCCTTTTCAGATGTTTTTTCCAATCGGCATCCTGCTGGCCCTTTCTTGCCACCACCTGCCGGCCAGGCCTGTAGGCTGAATCTGCTGTTTTTTCCACTCTAAGCGTGCTTTCACCGTGCGTACGTGCTGCCTGCCTATGTTTTTGTAAGTTATGCATCCGCTTTTTTTATTCCAAGATCGGCTTGGGCCTTGCAAGTTTACAGCGTGCGTTCATGCTGCCTGCCACCGTATGTGAAAGACATGCATCCAGTCTTCTTTTCAAGACTCACACGGGCCAATTTGCAAGGTCGAGCCTGCAAGGCCCAACTTAAATTGACAGTGATCACTCACTGTTGTCTGGTGATGGCTTTGGTGTTGATGCTGTCACACTCTGGGCTTCTTTTACTGATATGCTCATGGCTGGATTGCTGAAAACAGCACCTGGACATTGCCCTGCCACGGTGCACATGGCATGCTGATTGCCTGCACTTAAAGCCCGCGGCCCAAATTGCGGGCCGCGCGGGTCAAGTTTTTAAAACTTGATGAAGTGCCCTGTTCAAGCTTTGAAAGGTACCGCAGGTGCAATTTGGGACTTTCGAAGTCCAACACACCCACTAGGGAGAAATCGAGGGGCCTTTTGGGTTTGGCGAACGAAACGAATACGACGAAATAAAAAACACTCGCCAAAACCCAAACCTCAAAAACTCCCTCTCGTCATCTTTTAAAAACTTGTGCAATTTGGGCTGCCGGCTTTAAGCGATCCTGTGATTTGACCCCTCACTCACACGCACCAGGTGTGTTTGATGGTGGATGAGCGGCCGGATTCTGGAGGAATGCAGTGCGAGACTCGTCGGTTCTACTCCGTGAGGAGAGGAGACACGTGTGGCAAGCTGATAGCGTCTCGATACAAGCGAAAAGTGGACCTCTTCCGGTCACTAAATGGAGGGTTTGACTGTACTGATTCGTCGTTGTGGCAGGGGATGCAGCTGTGCTTGCCGTAAGCTAAAGATATAATGTTTCAAGTTAGTTTCTGCAACACCTGTCTTCTAATGAGACTCTTGCATTACAGTATACCCTTGGTACATGGTAAATACCTCTTCCCATTTTTACACTGCATGTGCCATATTCTCAACCTGGCTTTGCTGGTGAATGTCAAATTTAGAAAGCTTGCTTTCTTGTGTTTGCAATGGCAACGTGCTTCGTTTCAAATGGCTTTGCTGGTGAATGTCAATTGTAGCTATTCTTGCTTGAAAGTAACAAAAGGCTAGATAAAAGGTTGCTATTCCTGGTATCCATCCATGACACACCGCAGCGCAATCTCCTCGTTAGAATATTCCTGGCCTCAAGGAGTGCGGTACCGGTCCTATAGATGCATTGTCAAGATGGGAGATACTGTCAGAAATTGTATTTCTTTATATAACTGCATATTAGTATAGCTAGTGTAGTATGTATTCTCTTGTTGGTGGTATACCCCTCCTGACCACCTTCCCTAACCCTATATCATGTATCTCTCTCACTAGTCCAACCCCTTCCTTTGGCCAAACTTCTCTCCATCCAAACCCTAAGTTCCTAGCTCTCTAAGTTCCTAGTCCCTACCTTCTTAACATGGTTTCAGAGCTGGTTCTTTCCTAGAACCTTCATTTTTTTTTTTCAGAAACATGGGCCCGCCCTTAATGCAGCGCGAAATGCGCTATTTTCTTCGTCCCGTCGCGCCCTGCGCCCGTCTGATTCGTCGCCCCGCGGCCCCCCATTTCGTCGCCCCGCGGCCCCTGATTCGTCGCCCCGCGGCCCCCCATTTCGTCGCCCCGCGGCCCCCGATTCGTCGCCCCGCGGCCCCCCGTTTCGTCGCCCCGCGGCCCCCCCCGTTTCGTCGCCCCGCGGCCACCCGTTTCGACGCGCCGGGGCCCCCCGTTTCGTCGCCGCGGACGCCAGCGCCGGCGGGCGCCAGCACCAGCAGCAGCTACCGCCAGCGCCAGCAGCAGCCAGCCGCCCCACCGCGGCCAGCCGCCCGCGCCAGCGCCAGCAGCAGCTACCGCCAGCGCCAGCCGCCCGCGCCAGCGCCAGCAGCAGCTACCGCCAGCGCCAGCAGCAGCTACCGCCGCCCTGCCCCCTCCCGCCCGCCCTCCCTTCCACTGCTTCCGTCGTGGGCGGGGGGGGAGGTGAGGGAGATGTGGGGGTGGCGGGTGTGAGGTTGTGAGGAGCCAGCACCTCCTCCCTCCCTTCCCTCTTCCTCTCTCCCTGCAGCACTTGTTGCTGTAGGGGGGGGGGGGGAGAGAGGGTAAGGGGGGAGGAGAGAGGTTAAGGGGGGTGAGAGAGGTTAAGGGGGGATGAGAGAGGTTAAGGGGGGACAAAAGAGAGAGAGAGAGAAAGGGTCTCTTCTTTTCTGTTTTCTACTTTCGTAATGTTTTCTTGTCGTTCGTTCCTTTTCTCCGTCGTTTCTGGGCGTGGTCACCCAGAGTCGCGCACACCAGGCATCCACTGCGGGGGTTAAACCGCAGGCGGGAAACTCCATCGTGTGTTGTATCGGTGGGCCCAGCTGCGGCCCGGTGAAGTCTGCACTTAGGGTAGAGCGCCCCTCACTAGCTATGCTTGTATGCAGTTAAGGGGGGATGTCAGAAATTGTATTTCTTTATATAACTGCATATTAGTATAGCTAGTGTAGTATGTATTCTCTTGTTGGTGGTATACCCCTCCTGACCACCTTCCCTAACCCTATATCATGTATCTCTCTCACTAGTCCAACCCCTTCCTTTGGCCAAACTTCTCTCCATCCAAACCCTAAGTTCCTAGCTCTCTAAGTTCCTAGTCCCTACCTTCTTAACAGATACAGTCGGGTTGTGTTCATTGTGATACCATACAAGAAAGGAAAGCTGCATGTATATCTCTGAATAGACAACCAATACATCTAGTATCTGCAAATACTGTACTCCACAAGCAGCCCTTTGAGTGTGAAGTTCTCGGGGGATGGTGATAGGATAGGGGCTTTTTAGCCCAACACATTCATTCACAGCAACTATACGAGATTCCATATGGGACGAAGAATGACACAAAGGGAAGGGAATGAATATACTGGTCACAGTAACGAAAACAAAATCAGCATCGGTTCAGTAAATTTATGTTAAGGCTAATTTGTGAGTCTGTTTAAAGCAATGTTGCATAGTTCAGCATCAGATGTTAGTATCTCAGCTCACGGTAAGCACAGCTTCATGCCCTCCCACAACGACGACACGGTACAGTCATACCCCCCATTGAGTGACCGAAAGAGGTCTACTTTCCGCTTGTATCTAGACGCAATCAGCTTGCCACAGGTATCTCCTCTCCTCACGTAGTAGAACCGGCGAGTATCGCACTGTATTCCCCCGGAACCTGGCAGCATATCTGCCATAACGCACACCTGGTGTGGTGTGGGATCAAATTAAATCACAGAGTTGTCCGAACCTAGGCTAGGCGATTAACTTGACATGCAGGCTACATCGAAACACAAATCTCAGCAATCCAGCCACGAGAATGCCACTTCAAGGAGTCCGGAGGTGCAACAACACACCAGTGCCAACACCATCATCCTTAGCACACTCATGAACAAACCCGACCTATAACACCATGAACGAAATCAAAACACCCCATGACCGAATCCTAAACTGCCATGAAACAGCTTTGCTTAGCCCAGACCACGTGAGTGCCGCGTGACATTCACACCCGCTCACCGAGTCAATGACAGAGTCACCCCACTCAGCTGCATTGAGGTGACTTTTGAGTCGACTCAAAAGTCCCCTTAAGTGCCATGTGACATTCACACCCGCTCACCAAGTCAAAAACAGAGCCGTCCCACCCAGAAGCACCGGGCAGCAGGTGGTTGCAATAGAGAGCAGGGTTGAGATGGGAAAGGTATGCAAGGCCCAGATCATGTGAATGCCAAGTAGGCCCAAAGCACCCACTCACCGAGTCGAGAACAGAGTCATCCCACCCAGCTGCACCAGGCAGCAGCAGGTCGCAGTAGAGGGCGGGGTTGATTCGGAAGAGCGATGAGTAGCTCATGCGGTTATATCCATAGCCGAGCGTGGAGAGCCGCTGGCACGTGTGCACCTCCGGGTCGAGAATTTGATGCATCATGCAGGCCGCCACCGGGGGCGCGGGGACGTTAGGGTTGCTCCGCACACATATGCGCTGCAAGGAGGAAGTGGGGGGAGAGGGTGGGGGTTGGGAGAAGAGGGTGAGAAGGGGGGAGGGTGGGAGTGGGGAGAGGAGGGGAAGGAGGAGGGTATGGGAGAGAGTTTTAGGTGGTGAGGCGCCATAGCTACAGAGCTGGCAAGCAAGGCTTGCTGACATGGCAACGCTTGCTGGAATGGCAAGGCTTGCTGGCATGGCAAGGCTTGCTGACATGGCAAGGCTTGCTGACATGGCAAGGCTGGCTGACATGGCAAGGCTTGCTGGCATGGTTAGCCAAACAGATCAAAGGACCACACCAGAAAAGAGATACGGAAGGAATTGACTTCTAAGTTGACCAAAAAGTCAAAAGAAAAGGTATCAGCAAGGGATTGAAACGGAGAGGGATTTGGGTTGGGATTGGGATGGGATCTGACCTTTCCAGGTACGAGAGGCTGTGAGCAGTCAATGTTACGATTTAGATCTGTTATGTTGGTGTCAAGAAGGGTGTTTATTGAAGCACACGTGTCACCCTGGGGTGGGTGGGGAGGGGGGATGGGTGCATGTGGGAGTGGGATGGAAAATGGGGAGAGGGGAATTCAAAACCTCGATTCCGGTCAGAGTTAAATGCAGCAAGTTTTGAGAGTGATCGGTTAGCATGCAGTGCACGTGTCACTGTGATTGGTTGTCACGCGGTGCACGTGTCACTGTGATTGGTTGTCACGCGGTGCACGTGGCACTGTGATTGGTTGTCACGCGGTGCACGTGTCACTGTGATTGGTTGTCACGCGGTGCACGTGTCACTGTGATTGGTTGTCACGCGGTGCACGTGTCACTGTGATTGGTTGTCACGCGGTGCACGTGTCACTGTGATTGGTTGTCACGCGGTGCACGTGTCACTGTGATTGGTTGTCACGCGGTGCACGTGTCACTGTGATTGGTTGTCACGCGGTGCACGTGGCACTGTGATTGGTTGTCACGCGGTGCACGTGTCACTGTGATTGGTTGTCACGCGGTGCACGTGTCACTGTGATTGGTTGTCACGCGGTGCACGTGTCACTGTGATTGGTTGTCACGCGGTGCACGTGGCACTGTGATTGGTTGTCACGCGGTGCACGTGTCACTGTGATTGGTTGTCACGCGGTGCACGTGTCACTGTGATTGGTTGTCACGCGGTGCACGTGGCACTGTGATTGGTTGTCACGCGGTGCACGTGTCACTGTGATTGGTTGTCACGCGGTGCACGTGTCACTGTGATTGGTTGTCACGCGGTGCACGTGGCACTGTGATTGGTTGTCACGCGGTGCACGTGTCACTGTGATTGGTTGTCACGCGGTGCACGTGTCACTGTGATTGGTTGTCACGCGGTGCACGTGGCACTGTGATTGGTTGTCACGCGGTGCACGTGTCACTGTGATTGGTTGTCACGCGGTGCACGTGTCACTGTGATTGGTTGTCACGCGGTGCACGTGTCACTGTGATTGGTTGTCACGCGGTGCACGTGGCACTGTGATTGGTTGTCACGCGGTGCACGTGGCACTGTGATTGGTTGTCACGCGGTGCACGTGTCACTGTGATTGGTTGTCACGCGGTGCACGTGTCACTGTGATTGGTTGTCACGCGGTGCACGTGTCACTGTGATTGGTTGTCACGCGGTGCACGTGGCACTGTGATTGGTTGTCACGCGGTGCACGTGTCACTGTGATTGGTTGTCACGCGGTGCACGTGTCACTGTGATTGGTTGTCACGCGGTGCACGTGGCACTGTGATTGGTTGTCACGCGGTGCACGTGTCACTGTGATTGGTTGTCACGCGGTGCACGTGTCACTGTGATTGGTTGTCACGCGGTGCACGTGTCACTGTGATTGGTTGTCACGCGGTGCACGTGGCACTGTGATTGGTTGTCACGCGGTGCACGTGTCACTGTGATTGGTTGTCACGCGGTGCACGTGTCACTGTGATTGGTTGTCACGCGGTGCACGTGGCACTGGCGAGATGGGTGAGGAATGCACAACTACATGTAAACGAGGAGTGAGGGGGCACGAAGGAGTGGAGGCCATGAATAGAGGGGGAGATAGCCCCGAGAAGAAAGGATTCGCCTACAGGCAAAGCCACAGTGGTGGAGGGCAGAGCGCATAGCCTACCAGGAGGCACTTGGTTGCACTCTTCAGCTTCATCAGCCCAGCCGTCACAGCCAAGCCCTGCTGATGCACCCATGCTCTGACTTGCGTGTGGGTCACACCCATCCACCAGAGCAGTGCCATGAAAGTGGCGAAGAGAGTGGTGATGACAGTATACATCATGAGCACATACAATTCACCCGGAGACTGCAGGTGGGACAACAAGGGTGTAATCAGTGACGTATGAGTGAGGAAAGGGCAGTAAACTCCTGAACAAAGGATTCAGGCATAATTGCTGGATGGTTGCAGCAAGGTGCAACCGCAGAAGCTTCGGTCATCCCAACAGGCACCAAGGCGTGGAGGGAGTGAAGGGGAATATTAAGAGTGCGGCCATGCTGTGGGGAGGTGACGATGGAATGAGCACGAGTGGGAGATAGGCGCGTGGCATTCTGACACGTGGCAGGGGGGAAATGGCTCTGAGAGGTAGGCAAAACACGGATGCATGCAAACGAGGACACATGCATACACAAATACGGACATGCATGCACCCATGTCATACACGTGCAAGCATACACACCCGCGCCACACACGTGCATGTGCACCCACACATGTGCAAGCATACGCACCCACACATGCGCAAGCGCACTCACCCACACAAGCATATCACACAAGAAGCACACAAAAACTCAGTGCGACTACATGAATCAAAAGTGAGCACAAAATACTAGCAAAGGAAACAATAAACGGAAGGAACTATGCTGGAGGGAAAGAAAAAACTGTTGCTTACATGAGGGAGGGAAGTAAAGAACAGCATGAGAGGGTACTGCTGTCACGTGGCACCTGCAAGATGCAACATGGAAAGCACAGGTGCATGGTGAGACACGAGGCAAGGCAATCATGAAAGGCACGAGCGCAATTGCTAGAAACCCACAATGTGGAGAACATGTGCAGCTGTGTTGGGGTGGACATGACGTGGCCAGCATGGCAAAGAGCGACCAGGCCACTATGCATCAGATCCCTGCCATGGCAGTGATCACTCACGTCCCCTGCCATGATGGCACGCCAGTCATCTTTGTGAAGTGGATTGATGCTGATGAATGCGATGACAGCGATGGTAGTGCCGAGAACGACGCCGAACAGCAGCCCTGGCAGCAGCATGGCCACTGCAGTCATCCGAGCCATGAATCGCAGATCGGGCTAGCCCAATGCAAGGCGTGCGCCGTGCGCCTGCACAGTGAGGTGCGGCAGAAGCAGAGCGAGGGAGATGGCCAGTGGCAGGGGAAGGAGGGGATAAGTGACAGCATCAAAGGAACGAGAAGATAAGCGGCAGCAGCAAGGGAAGGAGGGGATATGCGGAAGCAGCAAGGGGAGGAGAGGAAAAGCGGCAGCAACAAATGAAGGAGGGGAGAGGCGGCAGAAACATAGGATGGATACTGTAAGCCGTTGGAGAGATAGGTGGCAGGACAACAAAAACAGTTGCGTCTGGACCGGACGCAATTGGCCTTTGGATAGGGACAGACTGGGAATATGGGGACAAGATTCAAGGTCAAGCGCATGGAGACTGTTGACGAGTGAAAAAGGAATCGCATGAAGGAACACGACGATGGTTGTTTAACCTAGGTGCATCTGCAGGTGAGGTGGGCAAAAAGGGCAGCAGGGCTGGCAAAACGAAGAGGCAGTAGGAAGTGGTCGCTGATGGATGGAAGGAGCTTTGCACAACACCGAAACAGCAACAAAAGAAGGATGCAGACGAGAGAGATGGATACTCTGAAGAAATTTGCGTACCTTGCAAGGTGAGTGCAGAACGGCGGATTGCAGTGGAGAACGACAGCTCACGAGATTAGCAAGCAGAGAGCACAACCTGGCAGCTCCAGAGGTTGGGGGGGTGGGAATGCATGGGACACGCGGAGCGAATGCAGTGGTGTGATTTTAAGAGTGGGTGGAAAAGGCTGCGATAATACAACAATCCTCACATTTATATCAAGTTGAGATTCCTCGACAGGCATACAACGTGGATGTGCTGGCCATGCAAACGAGTAGAACACGCAAATCAATCCTTCCAGAGTCAAACAATTTGAGTGCCATGCCAAGTGGAGGAGGGAAAGGGTGAAACCGGTGAGAGAAACAGCAACAAGAGGTTGGGAAAGGGCAAATGCACTAAGTAAGTTGCAAGGGGGTTCGGCTGGTCCTAGGCAAGAATGAAAAGGGTGAGCAGGACACACAGGAAGTTTGAAAAGGGACGTGGGAAAGTGAGGCAGTAAACGGATCCAGGGAAAACGGATCCTAGGGAAAACGGATCTAGGGAAAACGGATCTAGGGAAAACGGATCTAGGGGAAAACGGATCTAAGGGAAACGGGTATAGGGGAAACGGATCTAGGGGAAACGGGACCTAGGAAAACGGATCAAGGGAAAACGGATCTAGGGAAAACGGATCTAGGGAAAACGGATCTAGGGAAAATCTCGGGAAAACGAATCTAGGGAAAACAAATCAAGGAAAAACGGATCTAGGGAAAACGGGTCTAGGGATAACGGATCCAGGGAAAACGGACCTAGGGAAAACGGATCAAAACGGATTCAGGAAAAAACGGATCCAGGGGGAAAGGCAGGAAATGTTGCAGTGGGCGACCACTCACAGTAGACTTGTGTGGCGGAGGTGCACCAATTGGCAGCAACGAGCTGCCTATTTAAAACAGCCGAGAGTGTGGTGGCGGTCCAGAGCAGGGGAGGAAGAGGAGAGAGGCTGAGGAGGAAAGACACGACCAGAGGAGAAAAACGAAGGAATACTTCGAAATCTGGAGGCAGGAAAAACAGGTTGGAGGGAATACGGAAGCGGATATAAAGATTGGGGTTTTGACTTGGAGAACGAGAGCAGGCAGAGCAAAGAATGGGACACGAGAGAGGACAGGAGGGAGGCATCACGTCACATCATGCATGGTATGAGCCATCCATGGAGCGCACCGTTTGCCTCTCAGCTCTCCATCCCATCCCTTCATCCCAAAAATGATGGGAAGCGAAACCTACTACGAAGCTATTTCCTAGTTACTTTGTGGTTGGTGCCCAGATTTCAGCGTTCTGGTTACTAGCGAACATACTTCAATCATGCAATGTGAGGGTTGGGGCCTCCCGAACGTAAACATGCTGCAAAGTTACTTACAGGTCAGAACGAATGTGTGATCGGCGAAATGCCCGACACTTCTGCTTGCACACGAGAACCGGTAACACCGCACGCACGAACTGTATTGTCAGCTGTGATTTGTTCCTGACTTCGGGAAACGGCCATTGCGAAGGTTTTCATTGGTCGAAATCAAAGCAAGGTTGATTGCAGCGTCGAATTGAAACACAACGCGCGTCGCAGTGTAAGATGACATTTGAACTGTTTCTAAAGCGATCCAGTACCCGAATACGAATGTGTACAGTGAAATATCGACAATTAATAAAACATAACTCATCAATGAAACAATGCAACACGACACGGAAACCCAGTAACTATAAAAAATAAACGGCATCATTAGTTTCCATTTTGCAAACAATATTTACATTTAATAATGCCAGACGATTCAGCATGCAATTACAGTTCCGACATGATAGTGAGTAAGGGCTGTCACAGCCAATATTATCAAGTTCGAATATTACACGACAAGCATGCACAATCTATCTAATCAGATCCTTATCAAGCTAGACTATCACGCTGAACAATCACAACCTACCACGATAGACTAGGTTGTTAAATTGTAATGTGTTATTTATATGTAGGTAGGCTGTAGTGGGGTAGCCAATACAGGGTACAAACCCAACTAGGGTTAGCTACTTGTACCCAACTGTTTCTTTCAATGCACCCATTCTTGCCTAGTTCTGTTAACATGGTATCAGAGCAGGAGGTCCCTAGGACCTACCGACCGTTTTTTTTAAGGGCCCACCACCGCTCGCATGCGGTTACCACGCTACCCCGTGCCCTAGCCTCGTAGCGCCCTCGTGCGCCCTCGTTAGCGCCCTCGTGCGCCCTCGTTAGCGCCCTCGCGCGCCCTCGTTAGCGCCCTCGCGCGCCCTCGTTAGCGCCCTCGCGCGCCTCTCGTTAGCGCCCTCGCGCGCCCTCGCTAGCGCCCTCGTGCGCCCTCGTGCGCCTCTCGTTAGCGCCCTCGCGCGCCCCTCGCAGCGTCGCCCGCCCGCCGAGCCGCCCGCTCGCAGCGTCGCCCGCCTACCGCGCTGCCCGTTTCGCAGCCCGCCCGCCGCGCTGCCCGCTCGCAGCGTCGCCCGCCCGCCCGCTGCCCGCTTGCAGCGTCGCCCGCCCGCCCGCTGCCCGCTTCGCAGCGTCGCCCGCCCGCCGCGCTGCCCGCTCGCAGCGTCGCCCGCCCGCCGCGCTGCCCGCTCGCAGCGTCGCCCGCCCGCCTCGCTGCCCGCTTGCAGCGTCGCCCGCCCGCCCGCTGCCCGCTTGCAGCGTCGCCCGCCCGCCCGCTGCCCGCTTCGCAGCCCGCCCGCCGCGCTGCCCGCTCGCCGCGTCGCCCGCCCGCCCCGCTGCCCGCTTCGCAGCCCGCCCGCCGCACTTCCCGCCTGCAGCACCGCGCTGCCCGCTTCGCAGCCCGCCCCCCGCACTGCCCGCTCGCCGCGTCGCCCGCCCGCCGCGCTTCCCGCCGAGCTACCTACCTGCAGCGCTGCGGCAGCTTCCTTTGCTCAGTCGCACTGTCGCTATGGCTTCCATCCGCGTGCTGTCGTTCGATGCTGAGGGCCGCCCTGTGAAGTTCGCCACTTGGCTGGATGACCTGCAGCTGTTCCTTCTGAGCGATAGCAAGGAGCATGTGTCGCTCTATGATTACGCGTCTGGTGCTGCACCTGCCCCTCCTGCCACAGCTGAGCTTAGTGTTCGTTCCCACTGGCAGACTCGTGACGCAGCTGCTCGCCTAGCCATTCGCAGTCACCTGCCGCTAGCTGAGCTCGAGCATTTTGGCGACTGCAAATCCGCTAAGGCCCTGTACGATGCTGTCGTTGCTCGCTACTCCTCGCCTGCCACAGCCGAGCTTAGCCGCCTCATGCTGCCGTACCTGTTCCCTGAGCTGTCCACCTTTGCTACAGTCGCCGATCTTATCACTCACCTTCGCACTAGTGATGCTCGCCTGCGTGCCGCCCTTCCCACCGAGTTCTGCGCTAAGAATCCCCCTCCACTGTACTGGACACTCCACTTCATAGTCACCCGTCTCCCTGACACCCTCAGCTCAGTTCGAGACCACTTCCTTGCTCGCTGTCCCACTGAGCTCACAGTCGCCCTCCTAGAGGAGCAGCTGCTAGCGGCCGAAAAGAGCATTGTAGCTGTCGGTGCTGCTCGTGGCGCTCCTCGCACCCCCATCTTTGAGGGGTGTTCTCCCTCTCCCCTCGCTCCCTCCTACGCTACTGCTGCTGCTGTTGACTTCCTTGGTGCTGAGTCTGCTGGCGCTGCTTCTGCTCCTGGTGGGAGGCGCCGCACCGGCAAGGGCAAGGGGGGCAAGGGTGGTGGTGGTGGCGCTGGGGGGGGAGGAGGTGGGGGAGGTGGGGGGGGAGGCGGTGCTGGAGGGAGCGGTGGCGGGAGCGCTGGTGGGAGTGGGGTCGGTGGTGGAGGCGGGGGCGGCGGAGGAAGCAGTGGCAGTAGTGGCGGCGGCGGCGGTGGCGGCGGCGGCGGTGGCGGTGGTGGCGGTGGCGGCGGTGGCGGTCGGAGCGGTGGTAGTGGTGGCGGCGGAGGTCGGAGTGGAGGCACTGGCTCGGGCCAGAGCTCCCAGCAGCAGCAGCGTCCCCAGACGACCCAGCAGCTTCGTGAGTGGCTTGCTCAGCGTGGGACGTCGGGGGGCAGTGGCCGCTGTTCTTATGTCATTCGCACAGGTGACCGCAAGGGACAGACGTGTGGGAGGTTCCACACCCCGTACCGCTGCTTCTCCCGCCTTGACGACGCTTGGCGTGAGGAGATGGGTGCGGATGTTGAGCGCCCCCGCTGGGCTGAGCTCATGAGGGCTGGTGTCGATGTCTTTGCTCTTGACTATGATGCTATTATTGCTGCCATGTATGCATTGACTGTTAGTGCCGAGGGAGACTGTTACTTGTGTGTGCCGCCTGACCCAGGTATAGAGCCCGCTGCCCTGGGTACTAGTGAGTCTGCTCTCTCTGGTATGGTGCCCCGTGTACTTGCTCCCTCCAGTGCTGTCCCGGCTGTTTGCGAGTCTGCTCTCTCAGGTACAGCACCCACAGAGACTGCTCTCTCAGGTACCGCACCGGCTGAGGCCTGTCACACCTTCACCCTTGACTCAGGTGCTTCCCGCTGTTTCTTTCGTGACAGTACTGAGCTCACACCGCTTCCTGCACCGGTCCCAGTCTCCTTGGCTGACCCCTCTGGGGGCCCAGTCCTTGCCCAGTCCACCACTGTGCTCCCTTGTCCGGCGGTTCCGTCTGGCTCGTTGTCGGGTTTCCACCTCCCCTCGTTCTCGACGAACCTGGTGAGCAACGCTGTCATCCAGGATCAGTGGGTTGACACCTTTACCCCTGGAGGACAGCGTGTGGCGATCTGCACGTGCTCCAGGACCGGCCGTCACCTGGCTACGTTTACCCGTCGGCCGGGGTCGAGTCTCTACACACTGACCACTGCGTCTCCTCAGGTTGCTGCTGTCGGTCAGGTGTCCGCGTCAGGTCTGGTGGCCCACGCCTGTGAGTGTCGTTCCCTGTCGCACCAGACTCTTCTCTGGCACCACCGCCTGGGTCACCCCTCCTTGCCACGCCTCCGTGGCATGCACCGTCGCTGCCTTGTGTCTGGTCTTCCCAGGTCCCTCCCTCCCCTCCCTGCCTCGCCTGCGCCGCCTTGCCTTCCTTGCGTCGAGGGGCGGCAGCGCGCCGCTCCTCACTCCTCCTCGTTCCCCCCGACAGAGGCTCCTCTGCAGACCCTCCACCTGGACGTGTGGGGCCCAGCCCGCGTTCGTGGCCAGGGCGGTGAGCGGTACTTTTTGCTGGTTGTCGACGACTACTCGCGTTACACCACGGTCTTCCCCTTGCGCACCAAGGGTGAGGTCCCTGCTGTTCTGATCCCTTGGATCCGCACAGTTCGTCTCCAGCTCCGCCGCCGTTTCCGGACGGA